AACCTTCGCGGTTGTAATTAAGCCCATTGCAAAACCAGTCTCGTCGAAGTTATAGATATCGTCGGGATCGATACCGTAGGAAAGGATCGTTGTTTGGACGAGAGAAAACCAATCTCTAATAATCTTCGGGTCTTCGCATTGCGCACGCTTGAAATTGTATCGTTTTGAGAACCGAGATGATAGGTTTGGATGCCTTTTTACAAAGTTTGTAACCCAATTCTCGCCGACCGAAATAACGGGGGTAGATCCACGCGCCGCGAGTAGTAAATCTGCCATTTCTCGTACAGAAGAAGGCCGAGGGGCTGCTCCGCGAGAATCCATAGAGATAATCCATTTTTGAAGAGATTCCTCCTCGATTTCTGTCAATTTATGGCTATTTGCGCGTGTTTCGCTACGCGTTTTATGGCCCTTGAGACGGCGGCGTAAAGAGGTCTCCGGTACATCAAATAGACGTGCTGCTTGACGAACAGCGCTTATTTCTTTATTCTTAATAGCCTGGATAGCTAATAAGATCCTACCCTCTTGCTCTGTACGATTTCGAGAGCTTTGAGAGCGAATTGGTGGCATGGTGGGTGGTTGAATAAAGAGAGTCTAATTAATTGACGCGTTTTAGGTGGGGTGCGCCGCTCGCTTGTGTGCGCCGCTCGCATGTGAAATACGTTACAGTGACTGGACATTAGTTTCTACACCCCGGCCAGCTCACCGTCTCTATTGATTTATACCGCCTACCTAAAGCGCGTAGTATAGAACCATGCTAAAAATAGTAAGCGACGCAAACCTAGGATGGGAGCATTTCCTTGAGACGATTCCGCAGCGGATGGAAGCTATTATTGGGAGCCAGAGGCGGTATACACCGTATTAGATTCCATAGTATGAATTCATGGAGGTTTTTGACTGGCAGTATATTATATAATCAGGGGATGGGGCCAGACAGTGTAGAAACTTTATGTCCAGCCACTGTAAGTCTGTTCCTCGCCATAGTGGCTAACCTAATTAAGGTAGGGCGAACAGGATATAAAATACGGGCGGAAAAGGAGGCGGTATACAGATTGCCCAATTATATTGGATTCTGGGTTATTGCACTCGTGATCCCTATTAACCTCCGTACCACGGGTTTACGGGTTCTTGGCGGGTAATCCGCGGGTTACCCATGAGACATGTAGGGTATAAGCCAATAAGCATGGCTCTTTTAATCTATGTGGGCCTTTATTGATACATCATTTTTTTCATCTTAGAAGAACAGGGTATCGCGAGACCCCCAGAGTCCACATCTACAAGCCAGGATTTTTGTAAGTCTTCTAACAACCCTCAGCGAAGAGCTCTTAAATCGGTATATTACCTAATGTCTCAATTCACTAACGACTACGTATCATCTTCGTATGATATAGACCTCCCACGACCAGATAACCTTCCAATCCTCCTATCAGACGACCTTACCCCTGATCTATCGACTAGCCAACGAGCATTTCCCCCGTTGCAAGCTCAGTCATCAATTCCGATTTTACGCAACAGGGGTTCTCTTTGTCTCCGATTCCGCCTTGCCTCGTCATTGTTCGACCCGACCGTGTCACTCCGTATGTGGTATACGCTAAAGAAATGACTATCGAGTTCGTACAATGGTGGCTCCAATCAGACTTTGGAAGAAAGAAGCGCTTACGTTGGGACTCACGACACTTCTCTAATGTTTGGGATCATTTTGACCAAGTGGCTAAGGCTACTAATGGGGAACCGAAGGTAATGTGTAAGCATTGCAAAGCTCTTCTTAACCACCCGGGGCTTGGAGATGGAACTTCAACTATGAAGAAACATATTACAAGCTGCGGAGCAAAGACAAGGGGCCAAAATATCAGGCAATTCATGCAAGCGGTATAATACCCAATCTTTTCTTATATATAAAGATATACATTAGTTCTAACTATTTCTATAGGCACCAACTCCTTCTACTGATACCCCATTTAGCCAAGAAAGATGGGAATCATGTCTTCTTCGGTTTATTACCGAGTCAAGAATACCATTCCAGCTCCTAGAGCACGTAGGGTTCCAGGATATCATAGCTATGGCCCAAAAAGCCCCTAAGAAGCTTGATATTCCGTCTGCAAAGGTAGCACGGAGTCGACTACATAGCACAGTTATCGAACGCCATCGGAAAATACTAGAGAGCTTACCTGAAGATGGGAAAATTTCAGTTGCCCTAGACTGTTGGACATCTCCTTTCGCCCAGGCATTTATGGCAGTCACTGGATATTTCATCGATGAAGACTGGAACTATCGGGAGTTACTTCTTGGGTTTGAGCCGCTTAGTGGAGCACATTCTGGTGTTAGCCTTAGTGCTGTTCTACTACAGCTTCTACAGAAGTATGCTTTGGCTGATCGGGTGCTTACAATCACTACCGACAATGCATCAAATAACAACACATTGGTAGCGAGCATCCAAGAATCGGTTCAGTCCCTCGATCTCGGTGATAATACAGCAATTATTCGAGTTCCATGTATGGCCCATGTTATTCAATTAAGTTTGAAGCAACTTCTCGGTCAGATGAAGGCAGACCCGAAAAACAATACTGCTCAGGCCGAATGGACTGAATCCCAGGAACAATCAGTTCGTGCAAGGCATCAAAACAGGGAGATTGTTGACACTCTTAATAAGGTTCGCCTCTAGTTAATCTAGAAAAAGTCTGATTTTAACCTCGCTTTAGCTTCGAAGCCTAGCTATTTTCATTAACGCGAGCCCACAGCGCCGTGAAGCTTTTCTAAATCTTCAGACGGCTTCGAAAGCTCTTGTTCCAATACAGGACGTCCGTACGAGATGGAACTCAACATTTCTAATGCTTCGCCGAGCTAAACGACTACAATCTTGGTTAGATGAGTTTTGTTCAAAATATGGCCATCCTCACCTTCAGCTTGATCAAGAGCAATGGCGTCAGATTGATTATCTACTCTTGACCACAGAGCCATTTTTCCGGTTCACGACTGCACTATCAAAGACGAAGGATGTTACCGTCCACCTTATCTTTGCTATCTATAATAAGCTCTTTGATCATCTTGAGAAGTTGATCAGGCAGCTTAGAAGGAAGAAGGTAGCCTGGAAGAAGCTCATGCTTACCGCTCTCCGCGCAGCTGAGGAAAAGCTTAGGCAGTACTATAGTAAGACAGAGGACGTCCATGGCGATATCTTTGCTATCGGTACAATGCTCGCTCCACAGCACAAGCTTCGGTTTTTCCGGAGTAGAGAATGGGGTGGCGGGCCTGAGTTGGTTACTCGATATCGGCAAAGCTTTAAAGACTACTTTGAGCCTTATAAGCAACGTCGATCGAAAGAACAGACTAGCAGTGATCAAGAGCCTTTTACGTTAAGCTTAAGCCTAGATCTTGACCAAATGGTTAGCCTTAGTCAGGTTTCCCAAGCTTATCAACAGGATGAGCTTACAACATATCTTGATAGTGGTAAGTAGACCCAGTCTATAGATTACTAAACTTGGCTAATCAATATTTGTTAGCAACTACCTCTACTATGCCAATTCGCGCGTTCTGGAAGGAGAACCAGGCCACATTTCCTATACTTGCAAAGCTCGCACGCGATATTCTCTCAATTCCTGCAACTGGTGCGGGCGTTGAGCGGCTTTTTAATACGGCCCGGGATATCTGTCACTATCGTCGCGGCTCACTAAATGCTACAACAATCCAGGAAATCATGTTGTATCGTTGTACAACAGAATTTGAGGTCCAAAAAGACGCAATCGCTGTTCGGAATGAATATTTCCCTGAAGGGGAAATAGAAACGGATTATGAGGAGAAAGATGGCCAACAGCTAGAAGATATAATCGAGCCAATTAGTGATAATGAGGGCGGTAATGAGGATGATACACAAGCGGTTGTTGCTCTTACTCCAGCCGAACTTGTAAGGCAAGGTCCTTCTGAACGTTCTCTTGGAAAACGGAGAAAGAGTGTTGCATCTGAATCGGATACTGATGGCCGTATGGATGACGAGGAAGATATACCTCTACCTAAGACCCAACAGCGTGTCTCTGGAAGATCTAGAAAGCGTCCACGGCATCATGATGATCAGTTTATATTGTATTGAGTGTTTATAAAATTGAAGCTATTCACGCTTATTTTACTATTTAGTATCTCTAAACGTAAACCGCCTGTAAGCTAAATACATATAAATACAGCTTAACAATACATAATTTATGCAAATCGCAAGAATTCCTATGTTTGCACTGTTTATTAACCCGTGGGTAACCTGCGGGTTACCCACGGGTCTATTGTCAAAACCCATACCCGACCCGGGTGTGAACTTTGGACCCAAAACCCGCCAAGAAATGGGTATGGGTCGGGTAAAACCCGTCTACCCACGGGTACGGGCGAGGCCTAGTTTTAAGAGTGAGAGGGGGTAGGGTTTAAGAGTGAGAGGGAGTAGCGTTTTAAGAGTGAGAGGGTGAGGGTTAGTATTAGTGAGAGGGGGTAGGGTTTTAAGAGTGAGAGGGGTGAGGATTTTCAATGATAGAGGGGGTAGGGCTATCCCACGGGGGTGGGTGAACTCTGCCAGAGTTCAGGTTAGGGCTTTGTCTTAACTATGGGACATAAAAAGTGGGCCCCGCCTGAGTTCAGGTTAATTTCCTCGCCAGGATTCAGAGGTCAAATGAACTCCGATCAATCTGAAATCTTTATGAGTTATAATAGACTACTCGGGCCCTTTTAATGCTTAGCTAAGCTAGTCGCCCCAAACACCTCTGGTGTTGGGGCTCCGGTTTTAGAGCATACTTTCGGGCCCGATTTTGGTGCCTAACCATACTTTTCACCCACCTAGTAAAATGCCAATCTTCGTAGCATTTTTGTATAGCAAATTACTGCCATAAATACTGCATTCAAAAGAGCATTGCCTGAGCTATTTAATGTAAGCAAATCAGAACGCAATGCATCTAATATTGGCCTTAGCATGACGTTTTCCCGCTAATATCTCCATGAAATAGCTCATTTTTCGACCATTTCTCGCTACCATGTCCGATGAAAATGAGCTCAAAATCGCTAATGCATTGACCGCTTACCATGACCGTAATGAGCCGAAGATCAAGCCATTGGCAAGGGAATTCGGCGTCAGTTACCAGACCCTGCTAGGCCGTATACGGGGTGCCGGGTCAGCAAGTGGCCGACTTGCCACCAATAAGGCATTGGACTCGGTCCAAGAAAAAGCATTGCTTGACTGGATTATCTTTATGGATAGCTGCGGCGCACCCCCGACGGCATTATCGATACAGCACAGCGCCGATGACATTATTCATCGATCAGACCCGGACCGGAAGCCTCTTTGGCATGGCTGGGGCCTGGCATTTACTAAGCGACTGCCAAAGCTTGCACCCCACCTCCATTTTATTAAGCAGAAGCCGAAGGACCCGAAGCGAATGGGCGCCGAGGACGTAGGTCTTACGGAGATGTGGTATGACCGCCTAGAGCAGTGTATTAAGCAGTATGGGTTTCGACCGAAGGACATCTATAATATGGATGAAACCGGCTTCCGAATCGGCGAAGGAAAGGCTCAGAAAGTGGTATCTGCTTCACCTATTAGCTTCACTGCAACCGGGGGCCATAGCGAGAGTATTACCGCTATTGAATGTATTGCTGCCGATGATTGGAAGACGCCGCCGTGGTTTCTAGTGAAAGCTCAGTATCACCAGGAATGCTGGTATATTGACGAAATGCCTGATGATTGGACGATAAAACCGACACCAAAGGGCTATTCGTCTTACACCACTGCATTAGAATGGCTAGACTCATTTATCGAGGCCACAAACCACCGAGTCTATCGCCATAAATACGCCGAAAGCGATGATGAATTAGCGGAAGCTCGTGGCCATGGCGGTCGCCGTCGATACGGCCAAGATGCAGCGATTCGACAAGAGATAAAGGCGATACGGGAAGAAGAAGACCGAGTACACTGCCGAGGGTATCGCCTTCTTCTTTTCGACGGCCATAAGTCTCACTGTACGCCTGAATTCATCCTGAAATGCTGGGGAAATCGCATTGTTCCGTACGCCTTCCGGCCGCATGTCTCTCATATATGCCAGCCCCTCGATTCGGTTCCATTTCAACGGTATAAAGCGCTGTATCGGAGAAATAACGTCGAGACCGTCCAATGGGGTGGCTCGGTATCCCGGAAGGTCGATTTTTTCGCGAAATCGTCAAGGTTCGGGAGGGGATGGATGCTCTCTCAGAGCACGTTATTAAGGAAGGTTTCCGCCTTACTGGAATTGTCCCTATTGATGCGCAATTAGCTATGGAGCAAGAGATTAGAGATGCTAATGATGAGACCAATGATATATGGCTAGACGGCTTTCCTGATAGAGATGGAGATGCAGCTCAAGACCGCGAGCTCGCTAGCTCTATCACCATGTCACCGCCGCGAGACGTACTAGACACGAAATCGACGTCTCAGAAGCTTCTCAATGACATCGCCGATGCTCGACGCCGTCTAGCTACCCTTAAGCGGACGGCCACGTCGATAAGGAAGAGGAATAATGAGAGCGCTAAGGAGAGAAATCATCGCGAGAACGGAGAGAGACGTCGCCTGAAGAGCTTCCTATCTATCGTGGAGAGAGTTTTACACCGGTCTACGCTCATTTGTAGCACTGCAGGTAGGTTTCTCGCTTTCTCGCTTTCTCGCCGTCATTTTACGTGGATCTAACCTTTAGTATAGGAAATTCGACCGAGGGTCTTGCCCAGTTCCGTGCCGACAATCAGCTTCTTCTTACCCATACCCACAATCGAACGACGAGGCCCTCTGGCCGACAGATCAGGATAGTTGGACCACTCACAAAAGGCGATGCAAATAAGGATATACGCAAGCGAGAGCTAAAGGAGAGAGATCAGGCCGAGAAGAAGGCGATATCGCTAGCTAATAAAGCGGCCAAAAACCCTATGCCAGCAGAGCTTCTTGCTAGGGGGAATGCCAGCCTAAATACGCCGGCGCCGCCGCTGCCGATGTCACCGCTGCCGATGCCTGAATCGAGTCCATCGAGAAAGCGAGGAATGTGGAGATAAAATTGGAGAAAAAAAGCGAGAGAAATGGCTGGGTAATGCATGTACGCCAAGAGCATGAGGAATACTGCGAATATCCTACCAATATAAGGACATTGCATTCTGATTTGCTTACATTAAATAGCTCAGGCAATGCTCTTTTGAATGCAGTATTTATGGCAGTAATTTGCTATACAAAAATGCTACGAAGATTGACATTTTACTAGGTGGGTGAAAAGTATGGTTAGGCACCAAAATCGGGCCCGAAAGTATGCTCTAAAACCGGAGCCCCAACACCAGAGGTGTTTGGGGCGACTAGCTTAACTAAGCATTAAAAGGGCCCGAGTATATGAAATATCTCCCATTTGCTTCGGAGCATGCACAGCCTAGTAGTTATCGAGAAAATGGCGATTGAAAATGATAGGTTCTATTTGGGACTGTTGCGTGAGAGCCCCTTGCGTCGGGCCCACGATATCCCGTGCTGGACATCGCACACAAATATCGCCTGGCCTTCCCCTCCCTCGAAAAGAACATCGCCGTTTCGAGGGAGAGCCGGGCTCTCTCCGCGACGGTTTCTTCCCGCCCACCGCGGAACCCCCTCATGTATATTCCACGTATGCTCCCGCATAGCTATTTTTCCTCCTAGAATATACGGAGTGCCACGGGCCCGCCTGCAGCCCTCACGGCGCTGTAGCCCTCCGTCAACGAGGCCTACATCGCCAGTGTTCAGACCGCAGGTGCCCCGTGCGGGCCAAAATATCTCATCCGTCTCCATTTGTGCCAGTGTAGCAATGGTTAGAATAGATTAGAGATGTTTTGTTGGGGTGTACCATTACGGTGTACGATTAGCACCTAAGACGCTACCATAGCTCTCTAGACGAATAGAAAAACCTCGATAATGCTAGTCTATAATAATTAGGAGGGGTAGCAATTAATTCAGGGGGTTTTAAAGCTTCCTAGCTATTGTCTCACTTTTCTTTTACACCGTTTCACCCCAAAGTTAGCATTAGACATTCGTCAAATTTCATGCAATTCATTGTTGTACGATATATATCTGTTGAGGACTAGCGATGGACATTTAAATAGACGGATTCCCACTTTTGATAGTAACCTCAACAAGAACACTACAACTACCTATCTCAACAGGTCCTAAAGTGAATATTTGGAGGGTCAAATGCGCTTTGAAAGAGTAAGCTTGGTTAATAGTCTCGGTGTGTCCGAGTAGTTCCCCCTTTCATTTTATTTAATTTTCACTCTGACATCTCGGCGAGCATGTCTCCGCCATAAATACTCCAAGGCCGCCCATCGGCCATTGGTGGTCAAACTACCAACGTTCTCATATGCGAAACATTCCAAACTCTTTCGACTCTTTCGCTGGCAAGGATGCTGTTTTCTAAATTTCTCCTTCTTTGTGCAGGGCTTGGCCCTAGCGTCTTCGTTGCTGCTAGCCTGATGCAGCCTCGGGTGGCCGGGCTCGAGGTCACCAGTGTCACGTACAAAGGTTCAGGCTGTCCTCAAGGAAGTTTGACTGGAGTGTTTGAGCCGGCCACTAATTCCTTCAATGTTACGGTCCAAGGGCTAAGGGCTGAGCTTGGTAAATTAACTGACAATGTTTATTTTTCCGCATTGCTGATACATGTTGGCTGCCATAGAAAAGGACAAGGGCGGTGATCATGCGCGTTGCCACATTGTAGTTGGTCTTCGCACAAGTGCCTCAAGACAAATCAACGTCCTTCGGTATGCTCACTCACTTGGCAAGCACAAGATTCCCTCGTGGTATGAAGTAGTTAATTGACAATGATATCTTTAGCGGCGACTTCCATGGCCATGTCTATCTTCAGAAGGGCATGACAGCGTACGAGAAGAACACGTATAGTTTTGCCGGCAGCCCGGGTACAACTGAAATGAAGTGGCCATTCACTGGCCCAGTGAATCTGGACACTGTCTTTACGAATACCATGAATACAACGCTTGTGTCCCAATGTGGCGGCGACTTCACCCTTCAAATCGACAATGAGCTTATTCTGAGGCGTGGCAATGCAACAAAAGACGCCGAAGGATACATTAACGTATCTAGTCTTACTGGTAACCTTGGCAACACCATCGTGCTTGAGCAGAAAGAGTGCACCAACTAAATCCGTGCACATGTTTCAACCTGGGTATCTGCGTGAGGTGCTACATCTGTTGAACAGTGAATGGGACAACTTTCGAAATGGCTGATACACGCGGGTGACTCTAGAAGCAAAGGCTTGCGGCTACTAAAGCTTACCTCAGAGAGTGGGGCGCGAAAGAAGTTTGATTGAGGGGCATCAGGCCGGTCTAGGTTTGGGACTTGACTTATTATCGCTTACACTCATATATTCGGCCGTGTATCTAAATATTTCAATGACATAAACCAAGTTTCTGTGAGCAGATGGTGAAACTGATTTCGATCCATCCTGTACTTCTACCATGGCCATAGCTCGTGAGCTTTAACTGTTTAGATATTAACCAAGGAAGCTTTACATAGAGCGAGAACCAGCGTCACCATTTTACACTCCTTTAAACGACTGTCCTAGCGGAGGGACCTAGAACTAGAAAAGTACAGGATAGTGATAGAGAAAATCTAGTTCCTATACACAGGCAACATAAGAGCTGAGAAATGGTACGCGACGAAGGAATTCAAGCAGACATGTAATCCTTCGCGTAGATGTATTTCTACAGGTTGGTAGGCCCGCCCGCTTATCAGCCCTTTGAAGCCTCGCTGTCATTCTGCCCTCAAAAAGCAAGTAGACCAAAATAAATGTTCTTTCGCCGTGTCCCTTGTATAATTCGTAGAGCATCTATTCATTTCAATTCCTAAACTACGCGTCTTTTGGTTAACTTATTATCGCCAGTGACTCAGACCGTGGTTTATCATCCAATTGCCCGGCGCGTGTCCGTTGAGAATGCCTCAGGTTACATTCCCCGTATGATAACCACAAAACCTACATTTATTTACAGTGCCTGGCTCATGGTTTTATCTTTCCCAGTGAACTGAAAATTTGGACGACAGAGAGAAGGACAGCAATGCAATTGAGTCAAGTTATATGGGGTGTTCTGAGAGATTTATGCTGCTTTATCGGTTGTGATTCGGTTCTGCATCTATCGCTCCAGTCGGGGAGTAGTAGTAGCCTGTATTGTAGCTATGCTTTATTTTCCAATTTGAGCGCTTCCCTTGAAGACTTCCATCGATATGATATATTGGAGACCTTTTCCCAATCCGACGAAACAAGAATAAGGGAACTGTCATTTTCGGAGGTTTGGGCCATGGTGATTGAATACGCCCTTTAGAGTTGTTGGTTAGTTTGTGCATTTTATCTTCATCCCAGGGATTGACATTACTTATAATATGACACCTCTTGGGTTTCTCGACGGTCTGCGAGCTCGACTACAAATAGCTCACCGATCACGGGAGCCCGGGTAATGCAAATACCAATGGCAGGGTCACGAGATATCTTATTACCTTGAGAATCCGCCAAAGTAAGATCCGAATTCGCAAACCTTGGTTCAAGCGACTGCCTGCTTTTCCTAGCTCATTTTTCAGTGACAATTTTCTTCATTATCGCTTGCACCGAGGAAACACATACAACAGATTGCCCTGTTGAGAGTAAGAAGCTACGTCGACGGAGAAACCGCGCTTCAGATTTGCAAGTTGAGGTTGGCCTGTATGCAAATCCCTGCAGAGGTATTCAACCTCTAGCACGCGAACGTAAAGTGGTGCTCAGACGGGCGTCGTCCCATTGGAGTGCTGCCTCCAGAGTCAAGCAAAAAATTAGTTCTCTAGGGGTAATTTGGTCTGAAATCATTTCTATATGGCCTTCAACGCCGGAATCATAAGATGAACCATTCCTTGTTTTATGCACACTTTCTGTCTCTGTCCGTATAACCAGCAACTAGATATTTATAGCGGTATCCAGATACCTGCATGTCTTCATCGTCACTATCAAGAACCGGTCACGCTCTCGTAGATGGTTTCATTAGTGCTAGGAACTTATCTCTTGACCTTGGGAGTTCCCTTGCTCGCAGAAGCCTCTGAACCGTTTCTGGGAGCAAAGAAGCAGCTTCTAGGAGCCACGTAGCCCCCTGTGACGGTTCATGGATGCTTGGGTTTTACCACTACGCCATCTGGCCAAAAAGGCACAATGTTTGGTCAGCGACCAAACACCCAAGCTACTATACAGAGGATTTCGAAAACAGTTTACCCCCAGACACACACTTTTTCTTTTCCCGGGGACCCACAAGGACGTCTAGTCCGGATCGCTGGGTTTCAGATTTCCCGCAGCCAATAATACGGTGTTACGCCTCAAGGAAGGTACCTCAGCTAGCCAAATTTAGTTTAGCGCATTGTAAGTGGGGCGCTGTGTTGAACAAAAAGGGGGCGCCCCATATCATAGACACGGTCAAACAGCGGTATGAGGTGCAGGACTATTCAGGTGCTCCAACAGTGATGTACGTTAGCGAGAAATAGGGATAATGGAAATACAGAGTCATTGACATCTCCAATTGGCCGGATACAGGACAAATCGCGACATCAGTCAGCGTGAATCCTTCCTCAAAAAGAGTATAGTTCAGGGGAAATCTTTCCATTTAAATAGTGTCTCTTTCTCATTGAGAAAGAGACACTAACCAGACTTAAAACACCTCTCTGGAATAGACTACTTGCAGGCTTCAATCTTCTTCTATTACGAGACATCGTAAATCTTAACAAATTCTTTTCCTAAATTCGTCACCTAACAGCGAAACGACCATCAATTGCACCTCACACAAAACAGCATATATCTACCTACGCACCCAAACCTTCCTCTAGAAGTCAGGCAGCAAGCTGGTGTGGTGACTGCGGTGGCCGTGATGGATGTGATGACCAAGATTCCCATGATGGGCTTTAAGAGCTCCAGCACAGGCAGAGAATGCAACCTCATCGGATAATTTGTCTGCGGGAATGCCAGTGGGAATGGCAGAGGGAATGGCAGAGGGAATGGCGGAGTGGACGGCATCTTCAAAAC